AAACATTGCCCTGTTTTACGAGCATATTTTTTCTGTCTTGCTACAACAATATCACTGTACAGCTTGAGTTTTGAGTAATTCTACTCCCCGACCAACAATACTGGTGCTTTCAGCTCAGATCTAATACTTCTTTTATGGGCAATGTTGATCATGGCCCTCCACAACTTCCTATCCTTTGGTGCTATAAGGAATATTTGTCTTTTACCTATTGCTCATAGTCCTTGTTCTGCTATCCATTTATACATGCTTATTAGCTAGGTTACATCGTGTTTTTCCATCCCTCTTGACTTCAGTATGTCTTTTGAGTGTCATATTCTCCAAAGCTTCTTTCCTCATAATGTACCCCAGAAATTTCAACTGTTTCTTTTTGATTCTAAATATTTTTTAATGTTAAAATGCAAAGCAACTGCAGTGGTTGGGAAGGGTTAATTGGACTTTATAATAAAATAATAAAATTGTTGGATTAAAAATAATTCCATTAATTAGAAGTAGAGGAAAAAGAAGAAGAAGAAAAGAGAACAGGAAGAAGGAAAAATAGAAAAAATAAACAGAAGAAAAAAATAAACAGAAATAAAGGAAGAAAAATAAGCAAAAATAAAAATAAGCATAAGTAAAAGAAGAAAAATAAAGAAAGGCAAAAGCAAATAAGAAAAAAAAGAAAAAAGAGGAAGAAAAAAGAAAGCAAATGAAGATGTAGTAGAAAAAGAACTGGAAGAAGGGAAATAAAATAGAAGAAGAAAAAGAAGGAAAAAAGTGGGAGGAAAAAAGGGAAAGAAGAAAAATAAGAAAAAGAGGAAGAACAAAGAAAAAGAAATGTACAAAGAAGAAAAAGTAGAAAAAAGAAGCAGAAGAAGGGAAATAAATAAAAGAAAAAAAAAAGAAGAAGAAAAAAGAAAGAGATGGAAAAGAAGAAAAATAAGTAAAACAAGAAGAAACTGCAGAAAAAGAGTAAAAGCTGCCATAGAGAGGAAAATGAATCTGAAGATTTTACTGCTCCAGTCTTCTCACTGGCACATTAGCCTCGAAAATCAACATTCATATCCTTTTTTAAACAGGGATCTAACAACCTGTAGCCAACATGAAAATCATACAACTGTCTTAACTAGGAGGCAAGCATAGAATGTCTATTGGTTCTTTCATGAAAAGCAAATAACTTCTTTTCATAACAAAAAAAAAAAAAACAGAAAAATAAAAACAGTCACAGATGTTTTTGAGAAGTTGAAAAGAAATTTCTAATAATCTTTAAGTTGTCCGACAAAAACTTTCAAAGCTGTATTTAGAAAAGCCCAGCGAGTTAAAAAGATTGCTGATATTCATTTCCGAAGATTTTATAGAGGTCTTTAATTCCTGGAAATGTATAAAGAAACCAAAAAAAGAGGACATCACAAAAGGAATCATGGAACACACTCCCTCAATAAAATGAAACCATCTTCTACTTGAAATATGTGAGAGCATTTCTTTCTCTTAAAAAGTGACCCTTTCACAATAAATCACTGTGAGGGGTTCATACATGCTCTAATGAGAGTGCTGGGGTAGGGAATAATGAGGAGAGGAGAATAGAAAAGAAGCAAAGCCACTTTGTTTCTGTTTTTGTTTAATATTGATCAGAAGATAGATGGGAGGGAAAGGATGACAAGACAAAGTCCATTAGTCTGTTCTTTAAGAAACGAAATCAGGTAAATGGACAGAACAACATGTTAATCAGTAATAAAAACTGGTTTTCAAACATCCAACAAGGGTTATCTGTACAGAATACCAATATACCAGGTCTGATCAAAAAGTATCTGGGATTGGTGCTATAAAAAGAAAACTACAGCACGTATCAGTTCTGCATGTAATCTCCATCAAAGTAGTTCCCTTCTGAAGCCACATACTTTATCCAGTATCATTTCCATTCATGGAAATATTCCTGGAAGTCCTTATTTAGGACAGCAAGCAGCCACCACATCACTTTCTTGATGTTGTGAAATCTTGCTTCCTTCAAGTGGGATTTGATTTTTGGAAAGAGGAAAAAGTTGCAAAATCTGAGAATATAGTGGCTGTCAAACTTGGGGAATGTTGTTCTTGACCAAAAATGGCTGCACAACTCATGGTCACTGATGGAATTTTTGTGGTTTGATAAGATGACCACACTCTACACACTTACCTTCCAATTACTGCTATAAACAACAGAAGTGAATGACAATGTTATAATTTAGCTATGTATACACAACAGAGTTAATGGTTAATCTATTTGAAGTAGCTTCACCCTGTCTGCGTACTTTAGCTCCATTAGCATAGCAACAGTCCTGATACTTTTTGATTAGACCTCATATATGACAAATAGGAAAAAGTTTTATGACATGTTTCATTGGACTGGATTTGTTTACAGTTTTGTGACTTTACATGTGCATGATCAAGAGACTCTGGAAGTTCCAAAACTTAGAAAGAATTTTTTTTTTCAATTCCACTTTTCAATTTCTGATGGAATTTTCTGCTTGACTGAGAAGGATTATTCATA